GATTTGTAGTGTGTAAGTTTTAAGTCTAAAGGGGATACAACAGAGCCTGGCTGGCTAATGATGCAATGAGAGTTTCGAGAAACCATTACAGAGTCAACCTAAAGCTTTTCTTCTCCTTTTGTGCAAGATCCTCCATATACCAGTGGAAGCATCTCTATATTTTTACAGAAGCTTAGTAATTTTAAGAGGAAAAAAGAGAACACAATTTCAAAATGGCAGAGAAGTTTGAAAGCCTCATGAACATTCATGGTTTTGATGTAGGTTCTCGGTATATGGACTTGAAACCTCTGGGCTGTGGTGGCAACGGCTTAGTTTTTTCTGCTGTCGATAATGACTGTGACAAAAGAGTAGCTGTCAAGAAAATTGTCCTTACAGATCCTCAAAGTGTTAAACATGCTCTACGTGAGATCAAAATTATTAGAAGACTTGACCATGATAACATTGTCAAAGTGTTTGAAATCCTTGGTCCCAGTGGGAGTCAATTGGCAGATGATGTAGGCTCTCTTACAGAATTGAACTGTGTTTACATTGTCCAAGAGTATATGGAGACAGATCTGGCTAACCTGGTGGAGCAGGGGCCCTTACCTGAAGAACATGCCAGGCTCTTCATGTACCAGCTGCTACGTGGGCTCAAATATATACACTCTGCAAACGTTCTGCACAGAGATCTCAAACCAGCTAACTTGTTCATTAATACTGAAGACTTGGTGCTGAAAATTGGTGACTTTGGCCTTGCACGGATCATGGATCCTCATTATTCCCATAAGGTATGTGATGACGGGCGTGACCGTTTTCTTTGAGAATGAGAGTCATTTTAGAAAGAGACAGGCTTATCATAATGTATACTCAATTGGAAGCTGCAGCCTATCACAGCTTCCTGACAAGTGTACCTGTCTAATACATTGTTATATTCATACTTTAGGTATATGTTTACACCTAAAACATATATTTTCGTTGCAGTATTTAACTGTTAGTAAGATTAGGGTGATTTAAGATCCCTTGGTCTTCATAAAATTGGGCAACAGAACTTGATTCTTTGTCTTAAACCTAAAGAACTTGGTTAGCTTATTCTTGCTTGGACAATCCTATCACAAGTCTGACTTGTTGGTTTCTATCTCAACCACTTCTCTGGACTACTATAGAGACTGACAATCTTGATAGCTGCTGCTGCTGCTGCTGTATTTCATAAGCTGCTCGTGTAAATCAGGGGTAGGCAACCTTTCCCCTTTAAGGGCCAAGGGACTTCAGCTCCCAGAAGCCTCAGCCATGTTGGCCAATAGTCCCAAGTTGGCCAGTAGCTCCTGAGATTCTGGGAGCTGAAGTCCCTCGGCCCTTAAAGGGGAAAGGTTGCCTACCCCTGGTGTAAATTTATTTGTGTGATGGAAAAAGTAGAAGAAAGAAGTAATTAGAAGTACTGTATATACTCAACTATAAGTCAACCTCATGTATAAGTTGAGGGCAGGTTTGGGGGCCAAAATTATAGATTTTGATAAAACTCATGGATAAATTGAGGGTAAAATTTAAGGGCATGTAGCAGAGGATCTAGAGCAGGGGTAGGCAACCTTTCCCCTTTAAGGGCCGAGGGACGTAAGCTCCCAGAATCCCAGGAGCTATTGGCCAACATGGGACTATTGGCCAACATGGCTGAGGCTTCTGGGAGCTGAAGTCCCTCAGCCCTTAAAGGGGAAAGGTTGCCTACCCCTGATCTAGAGGATGAAGAAAGGGGGTAAAATGGCAAAGAACTTAAAAAATTCCAGCAGGCATAATTGTGTTCATTCTAAAGGCTACATGGATGAATGGATAGAGGGGGATCAGATCTTCCAGGACATACGTTTGCCTTTCACCAGGGAATGGTTCCTTTTTTTTAATAGGAGTTAAAATACAGTACTTACATTGATGGGTGAATAAGTCGACCCAGGTTTTTTGGGTCAGTTTTTTGACTCAAATTTCTAGACTTATACATGAGTATATACAGTATTTCATGCAGCACATAGTTATATTGTGACAATCACTGCCACAAGATGTAATTATAGCTGCCATATTGGAGGGCTTTAAGTAGGAGGATGAATACATTAACAGAGTCATTGCTGGCTACTAGTCAGGGTGGCCATATGTAACCTCTAGTTTTAGAAATAGTAAGCTTCTATGTATCCGTTGCTGGGGAGCTGAAGATGGAGCATGTACTTGCTTTCCAGTCCTTCCGTCATGCTTGCCATAGGCATATTATTGTGTGAACAGAATATTGGAAGAGACAACCCTTTGGTCTGAGCTATATTGCTCTTTTGAGAGATTCTGATTTTTAAAAGTGTAAAATTCCATTAAAAGCTTCCTCTTTTGGGAAAGTGGTTGTCATTGTCCTGGAAATACAATATTACTGGCATGAAGTAGAAAATTCAAATTTGAGTAAATGGACCTAGGTTTATATACCTCTTAGGCACAGAGCTCATGCTTGATTTCAAAAGATTCAGTAGCTGTCAGCCTAGCATACTTCACAGTTGTGATAATAAAATGATGTCACTCTATATATGTTGTGTTAAATTACATTAAATTTCTCTCTATAGGGCCATCTTTCCGAAGGATTGGTAACTAAATGGTACAGATCACCTCGCCTCTTGCTTTCACCCAACAACTATACTAAAGCCATTGATATGTGGGCTGCAGGTTGCATCTTTGCTGAAATGCTGACAGGGAAAACCCTCTTTGCAGGTTGGTGGAAACTGACAGGTACAAACCTGTCATTTTAAGTATATGACCTCTGCAGTCTTAGTAATACTCTGTAATTAGTAGTGCCAGTAGAGATGTCAGTTTGCCTTTCTAAAGACCTTACTGAAGTAAAAGTGTTGAATGCTTTTAATCCATTCATAAGTTAGTGCTCTTAGGTAGATGAAAATATGATATTATAAGAAATGTCTTCGTAGTGTTTATGCATCAACAGTACATAACTGACTTGTGCTTTCTGTCTTAACCTTTAGGTGCACATGAACTTGAACAGATGCAGCTTATTTTAGAATCAATTCCTGTTGTGCATGAGGAAGATCGTCAGGAACTTCTTAACGTAATACCAGTTTACATTAAAAATGATATGACTGAGCCACACAAACCTTTAACACAGCTCCTCCCAGGCATTAGCCCTGAAGGTAACTTAGTTCCTTTCTTCCCGGTTCTTCTTGTTCATCTGTATTTGGTTATGAGCCTATTGGCAGGCTTAATATGAATGTTTACGGCTTTTATAGTGCACACTGTATGATGTGTTACACTATGGTGGGCAAAGTGAGGCCCTGGGGCAGCATATGACACTCAATAGTTTTTGTGGTCATTGACCCCTCCAGACATCTTAGGCTGCCATTTCCAGAAGCAACAGCTGACATTTAATTAGGTTGCAGAGCTCTTCTGCCCTGTTTCACATAAAAA